GACTGTATTGAGTTAGCACAAATGGTATTATCATTATTATTATTATTGTTATCTCGTGTTAAATTGCGAGAGACTTAAGAATTCTTTGGGATTTCTTTTTCCGAATGAATGGTGGCACTTATGACCAATTTATTATAATTTTCCGTTTGTGTGTTCGAAAGTACACACGCACATTCTCATGCTTTTTGTCAGTAGTACGTTTTAGTATAATGTACGTTATTACATTAATTGTAAAAGTATTTTTTTTATTTTTTTTTTTATGAGGTTTTATGATTTTGCAATTTTAGATTTAAGTAGAAATTTTTTTAAAAGCATTTAAGTTTATTAAAACAAAAATTTTGGATATCACAATACTTTCAAGATATGAAATACTAAAAAATGAATTTACACATTTTAAACACCCAATTTAGATATGATGCTATTGATTATAAATGTATAAAATATATCAATTAGCTTATACCCTGCTTAGTTATTAACAATAAAAAAAGTAAATTGTTTCGAAAAGAATAGTTCGAACCACTAATGATTGTGGTTTTATTTATTAGTTATTATGCAATACAAAGTGCAATAAATAATAATTTTTTTTATTTGAATAGTTATAAGATTATACCTATTCATACAAGTATCTAATTTATACATGTTTTTTAGTATTCAAAGTTTAAAATATTTCATTGCATGATGGCGAAAGATTTTACGAGATTATAAATTTCTCAAAAACATCAATTTAAAATGAAAAAATAAAACTGAAAATGTGTGTCGTGTTTTCAGTGTTTTTGTTACATTTTTGTAATAATATATTTCATATAGATATTTTCATAAAATATAATGTTTTCTAATATTATTAATATTGACTTTATTGTGAATCAACATTAAAATATCCAGAACTAACTAATAAAAGTTTAAAAACTTACAAATTATAGCACAATAAGTATACCATTATTTATAATAATATAAAAATAGTGAAACATATTTTCCTGAATATTCTATGCATAATTTATTATAAATTCGTTTTAATATGCATACTAAGGTCTTATAAATATTTAAATATTTTAAAACTAGGTACATACTTTGTGAAACTTTTGATCACTACTTAGATATGGTTGAGGTAATTATATAGTTATTATTATACTATTTGAAAATAAAATAGTTACATTTCTTCATAATATTTTTCGATATGTTGTCCGAAAAAATATTATTAATCAATTCATAAATGCGCTTAAAAAAACTTTTAGATAAACTTTCAAAGCAATTTTAGGAACAAAATAAATACCTATACGTGTGTAATTAATTTCATAACGGAATAGTATTAACCAATTGATGTATGTAAAATGTATATACATAAATACCTATGTATATCGTTTAAATAAAAAACAAATTTTAGTTAATTATTCTAACATAAATTAAAATCTAACCGTGACATACGCCTTGGTGCAAACTTAACTTTTACTAAATTAAAGTGTATATTAAGGTGTATTTAATTATTTATGATAATATTAAAATAAAATAAAGTTAACTAATTACACGTATGTGTATCTATGCATATTTTTAGTTTATATTCACTACAATTATTAATTGGGTGTTACATGAATACGTGCAGCTAAGTATTAAATCACCAAATGTTTATTCGTTAAGCCGTTAAATGAAAAAAAAATTGAAGTGTACTTTATCACGTGAAATATTGTACATCGACATTAGCAATAAGCTGCACATTTTCCATTTTACAAAATACAAAAAACAAAAAAAATTATTTTAGTCTCCTTAGTATAATAATCTAAAACTTCTGTAATAGTATTACTCAAAGCTAATAAAAAAAAAAAACCTAGAATTAATAAACAATCAATAAAATAATTATCTTTGATAAATTAACGTGAGTTAATCAAAAATTCCTGCTTCCGTAAATTTTAAAATTAATAAGCACTTAATGTCCTATAATTTAAAATATATTTTCACTGTCACGAAAAAAAAAAACTTTAATAAATCTAAGACATTTTTTTATTTAATGATTTGGCATAATACCTATTATATATTCTTATCTACTCGTAACTTATAATATGTATATGTTATATAATCATAATTGTAGTATTATCGGGTTCTACGTTTTGCCTCTTGCTCACTTCATTCGTTACTCTCATTGTTAGTTTTGTCCCTGGTTAATTATCAATTTTTTCTTTGACATCACCTTTTTTTGATACGATTATTGTAACTAATTAATCGAGCGTTAATTTCTTATAAATTATTAGATACTTTGTATTGCTCATATTATCATACACATTTAAGAATCCAACTATAATAGTGTTATCTTTAGTTAGGTATATTTTTAACATATTTTTAAATAGGATTGCATATACGAGAGGTTTGGATTCAATGCATCAGTCATGTCAATAATTAAACTGCGCTGTAATTTCATTCTTAAAAAAAATTTTAGTTTATGTTTGTAACTTAAGCTATCAATAATGGCTTGTCGTATTAAGCCACAACTTTTCATTCATAAAAACATTATTCAATATAGGCTTTAATTCTAAGTATACTACGTCATTGTCTTAAATTTAATTAAGTGTTTTATATGCTTCATGATTTATTAAAAATAATCTGATTAATATAATTATTGATCAATTAACTGATCAATTAAAGAAATTAAAATATTCATATAAGTTTATAATAGAGATGATTGTGTTTTGTATTTTCAAGATATTTGTTTTATAAATATATAAATTTATTATACGAAATACCAATAAGAATAAAAATTTTTTCAAATATGTTCAGAATCTAAGACAAACAAGTATATCTTAATTTCAGTAAATAAACTATATTTTCTACATTTTAAAATATTTGAATGTGATAATATTGTAAAACTAATGTTAACTCTAATATTATATGAAGTATATGAACATGCCTAAATACCTAAATTGTTCGGTAGAACTATATTAAATAAAACCTTATACTATTTTCAAATCTTAATGTGATCCATATACTAAAATTTAAAAAAAAATTTATCCACCAGATATTAAGTTACAATTTATCAGTATTTAAATTTTAATATATTATATTATTAAAATGTACTATTTTATTTATACAAATACTTTGGCATTGAATAATCTTATTTTATATTTGTACTATGTATATTCTATAATTCTCCACTATTCAAGTTAATATGCTTATAAAACAATTAATATAACTGTTTAAAAATTTTTATTTTTAAAAATTGAACTTCTGGTTTTCCATGGTTACATTTCAAAGCTTACTTTAAATTATTATAAAAACAAATGTATCAGAAATGATAAAATTGATTGTAAAACGTCTAATGGCTTTTTTTACGAATTGGCAAAAATGTATTTATAACCTTTGGGTTTTATGACCCTAATTCAACATTAATATACCTAAAAATTCAACATTTAGTTATAGTATTGCAGTAATTAATTAAATATTTTTTTTAGTTCCCTGAGGTTTTTAGGCATATCAAGTTTGTTTGTTTCCACGATATTATAATATAAAAATATTATCATTATCTATTATCAATTTTCACTTTATATAGAAATTCGTACTTTGTCAACCTATATCACTTATAGTACTACGAATATTTATGAATGCCAGTTTTATTTTTTCGAATAACATTTCAAAATAATTTTGATTTTATGTCATTGCACAATATTTTATAACATGGAATAATTATTCACAATTAAACAATTTATTAAAAATTAATCGAACAATTATAATATTTTACTTCTTTTTATTCTTATTCTTTTTTTGGCTCTATTTCTCTAAAAACACGTCCTAGCATTTATTCTCTATTTTGTCGCTTGAACGCATTCGGAAAAGCACGAAGAACGTCGGTGTTTAAATAAATAATTTTTAATTAAGATGACTTCTATGAGATTACACCTTTTGTTTTGATTAATACTTAAATTATTCAATATGCAAATGTTCTCAAACTATTCAACTATGAACTTAAATTAAATTTTCTGTCGTATTATTTTCAAAACGTAGAAATAATATGTTTATTACTTGTATGCTAAATACATAAACATACAATAATATTCTAGTTATGTTATTTATAATTAAAGAGACAAGTAAAAGTACAATATTATATTTTGTACCCTATAATATTTGTTCTTGCCATGAATAGTCATCGTTTAATACGCTTGTACGCTTACTATCGTAACTCATATTATACTGACTCGTGAGGTGTATAGTATATAATTTACCATGATTACATGGTAATTTATTTTCATTCATAACGATGTCGTCTAAGGGTATTACATATCTACGAATTATATGTTCTAAATTTTAACATCTCACATTTTCTTAAAACATTAGTATTTTTTTTATAAGCCACGCTTATTACATCTATATTTTTTTCCAAAAACATAATTTAAATACGTTACAATTTCATCTATATTACTTTTAGCATCAAATTAAAATGTTTAATATGTATATATATATATATATATACAAATTATGTTAATAGACATAAACTTAATTATTCTATTAAACTAACCATAATAAAAATCCGGACATTCGTTTAATTCATAGTCAAATAAATTAATTGATCTCTAATTAAATTTGATGATATTTAATTGGTTTACACTCACATAAATACTATTTTTTTCATAATTAGATATATCAACCAAAATATATTATAATTAAAAACGATAGAAATATATTTTATAACCTTAAAAAAATTGAGGTGTTTAATTTTATCAAGTTTTATATTTCTACCTATTGTTATGATTTAGATTCAGTACACTATTATATTATACATTTAAATATACCAATACACTTAATTTTTTTTGTAATTAAATTCTTATTTTCATTGCTCCACTTAATGTCTCCATTTGATACATAATAGTTTATAATGCAACTTAAAATAAACTATACTATATCTTTAAAAATAATTATGTAGTACCAATTAATTTTAATAACATTTATTTGTTTTAATTATAATTATTATTCTTTGTATTATTTTTATAATATTCTTCATCTGTTTAATTTAATTTTTCCAGATGGGAGACGCCAAATACGATAATCATGAAAACAGACTGATGTTTAGTTTACAACAAATGATGAATTCTGAACATTTCGCAGACGTCGTTATATGCTGCGCCGACGGATACAAATTAAGAGCTCACAAAGTTGTACTAGCGTACTGCAGTTCGTATTTGCAAGTAAGTTGAAAAAAAAATTCATTTTTGTCAATTCAATTTTCAATATATAAATATATAGTCATTAGTGTATTTAACACCAATCTTTTGTGGCTCCAATACTAATGATATATTAATGATACTATGTATAAACCTATCTATACAGTCACACACTCATACCCACCCATTTTTATCGTAAAATCAGATACCAATACACATATTATGGTATAAAGTCGACTAATTTTTAGTCAGCAATGGTTTTGATTTTCACCCGAGTAAACTGATAGAAATGCATTAGGTATAGCTTACTGATTGCATACATAAAAATTAAAATATTATAAGGTTATCGCTGTTATGAATAATGGCTATACACACGTGTGTATTAATCGATACCATATTACAATGTATTATTATTTAATAACACCGTACCACGAGATAAAATCATTTTCAGACTTATATGTATGCTATTATTTTTATAACAACTAAAATTACCAAAGAAATTTAATTAACCATAACATATAATATTCACAATGTAGTAACATTTCGTAAGACACTGAATCTAATCAGGTTAGATATTATACGATATGAAGTCCACGAACTTAAAGCTGTTACCTCGCAGAACAACTGATACTGTCAATACTGATAATCTTATTGCGCGTGGCGTTCATTTTTAATCAGAACTCCGCGAATTTTTTTTTTTTTTTTTGTTATGGCATCAAACGAACAGTAGACTCGTCTACGTTTACTTACACTCGAGCACTGCAGAATGGAAATACGTTAAAATATAATAAAAGACTAATTCAATTCTAAAATACGACGTAATATTATTATTATACCACCCGTTTAATATGTTTGTATTACATACACCTAGGTACATACCCACCATAATCAAAAAAATTTATTCGGTGCGTAATGCGTTCGGTTAGGTACTGATGATGTCCCGGCTGAATGTTAGTCGACCGACTGGTCGAAAACCGCCAGTGAATTAACCCCTGTGGTGACGTACCTTTCGCGATTCGCCGCCGTACAACAGGTATACGTCATAAATTCACAACATATATACATGTGTTGGTGCCGTGTTTGTCGGATTAATTGCTACCATGGCGCGTGTAATGTGTATCACGAGTTTATAGGTCATTTTTCGATCGACAGTGGACTTAGGTTTATATACTGAACCCATAATACTGTACGCGTAATCGCCACCATTGAAAGATGCTGCAGCTGAGAAATACAAATGAACGAAAAGGAATTTGAGGGAAGGAGAAGAACGATTTCACCACACGCAGAGTATATTATAATCTATCGGCAATTGCGCACGCGTATTATCCCACTCTTTTGATACTTCGCCCCACTAATCCTTCCCTTTTAAAGCATTGGAGACGAATCTGATGTCAATGCATACGGACACGCTAGATAAAATTGAAAAATAATCACGTATATCGCGGACCCTAAGCCGCACTTGCCCGAACTATACCACTTAGGAGGTGTATTATAATACCTACAAAATAATATTATATTATTGATTGATATAGGTATGTACCCATAGTCATAATAAATAAATCGCTACGAAAACCATTCGCAGGCTTTTAGTCGGCGTTCGTGACCTAACATAATTTAACACTAATATTATGTTTTATTAATATAGGTACATCATATCATATGATCATTTAAGTAAATCGTTGTCGTAACTCCTTTGCAGACACTGTTCCTCGGCCATCCTGGACCTGACGACAGCATTACGATCATCCTGCAGGACGTCGGGCACGAGGACGTGAGCCGCGTCCTGGAGTTTGTGTACACGGGTGCGGCCGTCGTTCCGGGACACAAAATGGATGGTTTCGTTACGGCCGCTGGAGCCCTGGGAATTGGGCCGCTCCTTGACCCGCGACGACACTTGGAAATGTCTTCGGTCCAGTCACAGGCTACCCAAAATCATCCGTGCTCTCCAGCCACAGTCGCGAATGATCTGACGCCCCTAACAATGACTCCACCGCAGCAGCAGCAGCAGCAGCAGCCTTATTGTAGGGTGCGTCAGCCGCCCAGAACCACGGGCATTCTGACACCATCGCCATGGACTCAGAATTTCCGCCCGCCATGCGCCACTCCTAGGTACTTGACTCCAAAGACCGTGCAACCTGACTCCCTAGTAATTCCAGTAAACTCGCCGACAGCGAACACAATTCAGGTAAGTTGTAATATAAAATACTGTCATTTTAGAACACATCTTAATACCACTACTTCAAAATACAGTTAAAATGCAGTTATTAAAGATTTAAAAGTTGTACTTATTTGAATAATATGCTATTTATTTTTCGTTATAAAATTTTAGTAAACTTTCGATTAAAACAATTTTAATTAAATACCCAGATATACATATTTGTAAAATTTCTATATCAAACATAATTAATATTAAATTTTTCCTAAATCAAAACTGAAATTAGTAGAACAAAGCTACCTATCTGTTCAGTGTACATAAAATATTTAATTTCAATATGAAGAAAGAAATTTAATAACTAGCTAATAATCTGTTTATTGTGTAAGTTTATGCATGTGTGTGTATGTGCGCGCGAGCGCGTAAAAAAACACTTCTTAAAATTTACGAATCTATTTTGCAGTGTATATCTAATACGAAAGCACAGAACAGTACAGAAACATTTTTTTTTGATATCAATAATCAAATGTAAAAGTTAAAATAACAAAAATGTATACAGGATATATTTATCACAAAATCAAACTTTATCTGCACAATACTTAAAGTTTTTAAGCTGAAACTTTTTTTAAATTTAGTATGTAGTTTCGTAGTTGTAAACGAAATTATAAAATATTGTTTCACTTTATTTATGCCTTGTATAGTTCTAAAATATTTAAAATGTACCTAAACTATGGTCTATATTATTGTATATGTATAAAGCTATACAAAATATAATATAGTCACAATGATTATAATGGAATTTAATTGTTCTAATGTTATAATTATTTATCTATCGTGATATTTGAATAAAATAAAAATATATCGATTATTATATATAATGTATACATATAATTGTTTCCTTGTCATCGCATTTTAATGTCAAAACTCGTTTAAGGATTAATAGTAAGTTATTAGTCATTTCAATTTATAGTTTATAACATAAGATGTTCTACGAGATTTTTTTGAAATTAATTCACAAATAATATATATCATTTACCCACTCAATACTATCACTCGATGACACACAACGTTGTCAGCGCGAAATATTTTTGAAATTAGTTTCTGCAGATTTCGTTTTGAATTTCTATAATTTATAGCCTGTAATATAATAATTATAACTTACGACCGGTTGTTATATACAGAATACAGATATATACGCGTCTGCCGTCGATAATACTTGATTTCTATACTGTCCAACGTATATGCGGTAATATAATTTAAAAAACTCGCATTTAATTTGATGAATACACGTTTGTACTGATGTCGTGTACTCAAATATCACGGTTTTGAATTATATGTTTTATAATTGTTTTAAAAATTTTAAATTATGTAATATACAAAATACACACATGTGATGGTAAAAATAAAAATTACATCGACCCATTTCATCCTCCAACTCGTATCCAAATAAATTGTTGTGTAAATTGGGCGGCCAATTATATAAAACCTATTCGAGTTCTTTCCGTTATTAAAACAAGTACAACAACCGATGAATTTAAATCAAAAAACTGAACTAAATACAACCATGTTTATTATATTTTAATGTTTAGTTCGGGCAAATATTTACATATTTATGATCCGAATGCAAATTTAAGGCCTCCAGTGATTTAAATTTAAACGTATTCAAAATTTTCAAAACAACATGTCCACAATTTTAAAAATGTTAGCTAAAAGAGGCATATACGATGTACTAAAAACTGTATTACATATGCTGCAGTATTCATACAATATGTGGTTCACTGGTTAAATTATTATTTGGACGACGGTCGATTTTATGAAAATATGTATGGCCTGTTATAAATTCAAGTCCCGGAAAAGTAATCATTTTCTCATATGATAAATCGACGAACGCAAGATGTGTTAGGAAAATGGTCTTGAACTGTATGTAGCAAAAAAATGGCTGTAGTAACGGTATCCACAGCTATAAAATATTTTTTAGTTGCTACTTTACTGTAATATACTTAATTATACTATTCTACCACCTATATGTCAGTGTGCGGGATGTGCGTATATCTATGGCCGTATTGTACAAGTATTTATTATATGCATGCACGCGCAACGACAATGATGACAACACGACGGTTAATGTTTTGAAAGACGTAATTGTAGAAAGCTCGCTAAATTAATAAATTAAATATAATAATGTGTATTGTACTTTCAAAAACGACAAGCCCATTAAGATATTTCAGATTTTAGATCTTAATATAATTACTATATAGTAATAACTAATAATATTTAAGGCGTAGGTTTATTCAAATTGAAAATTCACTACAATATTATGACATTAAGCAAACAACGTTTATTATTTTTCTTTTATTTAGCTTAGATTTACGATAAATGTGAAACTAGCCGACTTATACATAATTTGACAACGCTTATAAAAAATGTACTATCTAAGATTTCGATCATCGAACAAATATCAGATCTAATTAAAATGTTAAGGTTAATGGTTAAAAGTAAATAATTTTAGTCTTATTTAAAAAGATAACTTCGACACATATCAACTTATGTTATTAGTTGATCAAAAAATTAGTTAGTTTAAACTGAAAACATCTTACTCAAATCTAACAGCTATATTTTTCAACAAAATCGATTAACTTATTTTTTTGTGATTAAAAAACGAATAACCATAGATAATATAGATAGTTAAAAATTTTAGCATATGTTTAAAATACCATTTTCTATAAATGGTATAATGGTATAATTTAAAACTATTTAAAATGTTTAAGCTATTTAATATTTATAGACATTTTTTTTATTAGTTTATACTCAATTATATCAACAACAAAAATTCCTTACTTGGTCAATAAACTTGAAAATGTAATACAAGATTGTTATTATTATAAATATTAAAAAATATTAAAGATAAATATTATATGCATGATTTTTCATTTTTTTTTTTTTTTTTTAAACGAAGAATGAAAGTTTTAATTATTTGTATTTAATATTATTCATGGATATTTGATACTTTTACATATATCATTTTATTTAATGTATATAATTACACATTTTCAAAACATTTAGATTAATTCTATGCCTATTCCATGCCATGAACCTATTCACGCCATTCTACGAGTATCATAACGCTGTATTGACCAAAAAGTTAATATCAATAATAATTTACATACAATTAAATAATAATAATTTTATAAATATAGTGTTTTCGAAGTTTAAAAATTAAATCAAATTATATCAACATATAGTATTAGTAATTGTAAAAACAATTTCTAATTGCTCTATCAAAAAAAAAAAAAAAATTAAAAAAAAAATAAGAAATAATAAGAAATTTATACAGTCTATAGGATAACCGATCGATTTGGTTCGTAATCGTTTTTAATATGCAATAATTTATCATTTAATTCAAATATGACACACATACAGATATACTACAGTAATTTATTCAATGACGACTGACGAGGTACACTTGACACCTACTGTGTAACAGAGTGATTACCTACCTACTTTTCACCTTTTTAATTTTCTTTATTGATTAGTATAGCTGTCGATATTGTAATTATTTAATATTTATTAATTAATTATCGATTTGAAATAATATATCATATTAGTATGTCTACAATGAATAATCGTAGATAAAAAATGGTACGGTGTGAAATACGTGATGTCGCGGAGAAACGGGTACAACCGTCAATGGATATCGGACATGGCAACATCGCTTTGAATACATTACGCTCAAAGGTATAACAAAAAAAGTGTATTCTCAATTGTACACACACTAAGCTTCGTTTGCAATATAGTAATATTACACAATTTGAATTAATCAGTATTTGTTTTTAATTACAGTAAAATTAAAACAATATATTTATTTTGTTATAAAAAAAAAATGGATTTCATAAATTATTATTTATTTTTCCTTGTGCTTATGAACGCATTTGAGAAAAAAATAAAACCTTTTCCTACCGGTTGTTTGATAATTCATGTTTATACATATTTTATTTTTGAAAAATGAAAAGTAAATTAGTATTTAAAATCAAGATTATACCTTATGCATACAACCATTTAAATAATTTTAAACTACCAATGTATGTAATTAAATCTCTTTTCGATGATAATAATAATAACAAAAATAATTATATTATTATTAATATTTATTTTTATAATTATTAAATGAACAGATCTTTATAATATCTTATCTAGACTGAGTCTCTATAGTCTAAACATGTATGTTATGTGAAGCAATTACTATTATTAGTTTATTTGAATTTAAATATATTATGCACACTACACAGTGTATCCCAATGGAGCCATATACGAAAATTTATTAGTATGCTAAAATATTCATAAACTAGATAATATTTAGTAACAAAATGTAAAACATATTCCTCAATATACTTAAACTAGTTAATATAAAATTTTTAAATCAGAAACACAAAATTATTATTATTTAATTATTAAGTAAAATATAAATCGATGCACTAATAACATAATTGCATTTTGAAAATTCTGCCGTATAAATCTCTTTATTATTTCTTTTAACGTTTATGTGACTATTTCAAGCATAAAATCATTCAGCAAATGTTTTTTATTTAACGTCCAAAAGCTAAGTGAAATGTAATTCATTTACGTTTAAATTTTATAAACGCGCATTTTAAATACATGTAAATATAATATGACACAAGCGTGTAATTAACATTTGATAATCAACGTTTGTCCTGTGTAGATAAGTGATGTAAAATGCAAATCAATGAGTAGAGGCACTTAATAACGTATTCTGTTGGTACACGATGATTTATTGTTTTGCGGTTATCAAACCATAAACATTAAACACACACACACGTATAAACATGGGTGATTTTGCGTAATGCCACCGTCGCGCCATGCCAAGTTAAATCGAGAGTTGTCTTTAGAAATTTTAACTCATTCTGTAATGAAAATAATTATTATCGAATTACTCGATTAACAACATAAGTGTACATAATTATATATTGTACAGTATACACTTATCACAACGTTATTAACATGCAAATGGTATAATATTAAAATATTATATTATCCTAATGCTGTTTGGCGAATCAATAATATGTTTATATGAGATTGGGCTTAAGATAGTGCATTAGGAAATAAAACATTCAAAACCGGCCTTTCTCTCTGCACGCTTATCTTCCGACTCCGGTACCATCGTCGTAGGTATATAAATTACAAATGTATGATTTCGTTTAAGATATTTGGATAGACTCCGATCGTGACTGGTCTCCGACGACCGTGGGCGATATTCCATATCCTACGACTTAAACAAAAGCGCGTTGATACTTTCACGGTGTTTGTATTTTATTTTCATAATTGTTTTTATGTTTTTAAATACATTAAATTAAACACAGCGTGGCTAGAAAAAGGTATATTACAGTATATAGTAGATAAACACAAATCACGAATCGTATTGATACAGGTGTACAAGTATTTGCAATACTTTTTTATTTTACGAATTTCGGTTAATACAATTATCAGTATAAAACGTTAAAGCACTTAAAACGACTTCAATCTTACAACTGCTTTATGTACACTTATTTCATAAAAAACCTGTATGACTATGTATACAATATAATAATGGTGTTCGCCATTATACGTAATTTCTATAGCCCATGAATCATTTCATCCATTTCATTCACATAATTGATACGTTACCGCCTCTACTATTAATCTTGTCAATCTTATGAACCCTAAAAATTAGTTTTAATGATATGTACAGTGTTCTATTGCTTTCTATGTGTTAATTGTAAATAATTCTAAAACCAGTTTTCTTTTTAGGTTACGGAAATCCAAGAAGGACCGCTTCCTATTCCGCTGCCGTCAACGCCGCCGGAAGAGCCTACAACTGTTTCAATACCACCGTCACCGTCAACCGACAGCGACAAAGATACGAACCAAAAACTTAAAGTTACCAGCGATGCTAATAATAACGGGATACCGGAGAAAGACCGGAATGCAAATCAAACAAAAAGTCATGTTTGTCAAGAATGTGGAAAAACTTTCGTTACCAAAGCGTCTCTTAAGGTTAATATAGACCTAGTATAGACCAGTATTCTTTCTAAAAATTTTATAATTAAACATCTAAAGTAAACTTAACTTAATCATGAAACTGATTGTTGTCCAACTTACGAGTTAATCAAGTAATCTATTATCAATTTCCGAAAACTTTGAAATAATAATTAAATATAATTTTAGAATCCATTGAACATTCCTATATTATTTACGATCGTATATCAAAGTATTCCAGAGTATCAACGTGTGTTGGTTGAAAATAATTTATTTTCTTCGAAATACTGTCATGATTAATATATTATTTATACGGAAGTAGATCCCAGAACTGTCACTCGTAAAAATTAAAATGTTCCCTAGGGATAGAAATATTACTAAATATGTCGTAATGCAATTTTTTTAAGTTCTGCAATTGACATGTTTAATAAATATACGAGTATAAAAGCGTTAAATGCGGTGAAAAATATTTAAATATTTTTTATTTTTTTTTTTTAACAAACTCGATCAACTGAAAATCAGGACGTATAAATAAATAAATAAATTTCTGTTTCAAATCGTAATGATAATAATATTATAACACGGTCATCAGTCATCACTCATTAAAGTTTGAACTCGTGATAAATCATAAATTTTAAAATAATAATAATAATACAAAACGTACGACTAAAACAACTATTGCGCGACGTTTAAAACGTATAAAGCTTATTCCTTTTCGTCCTTTACAATAATTACCAACGTGTCTAATAAGACGTCTTTTCTACCGGTACAGATCCACCAGAGGACCCACACGGGCGAGAAACCGTTTGTGTGCGAATCGTGCGGCAAGCAGTTCAGCCAACTGCGCAACTACAAGTATCACAGGTCCGTGCACGAGGGCACCAGAGAGTTCTCGGGCAGCTGCCCGGAGTGCGGTAAGCTGTTCAACGACCGCGGTTACCTGAGCTCGCACATGAAGATCCACCGGAACCGGAAGGAGTACGAGTGCGAGTACTGCACGAAGAGCTTTAACCAGCGGGTGGCGTACAACATGCACGTGCGCATACACACGGGCGAGAAGCCGCACGGTTGCCACCACTGCGGCAAGTCGTTCACCAGGAAAATGTTGCTCAAACAGCACCTGCGCATACACACCGGCGAGAAGCCGTTCTCGTGCGCGGTTTGCCACAAGCCGTTCGCCGACCGGTCCAACATGACGCTGCACATGCGCCTGCACTCGGGCGTCAAGCCGTACGCGTGCGCGGTGTGCGCCAAATCGTTCACCAAGAAGCACCACTTGAAGACGCACATGAACTACCACACGGGCGTCAAGCCGTACTCGTGCGACAAGTGCGGGCTGAGCTTCAGCCAGAGCAGCAACATGAGGACGCACCTGAAAAAGTGCAGTGCCGTCGCGACGCCGCCGCCGCAGACCGCCGTGGCCGTGGTGACACCGGCGGCGGCCGCGCAGCCCGTCTGAAAACCAGGCTGCCACCGAGAGACAACGCGCCGTCGCCGTTTATTGCGTTTCTCGAACAAATCGAAACGGTTTTCACCGCACACTTTCCGATTGGGCCTCCTCCTCCTCCTTCTTCTTCTTCTTACTACGCTCGCGACGGATTTCCGACCACAAACTCCGTCGTCCTGTAGCTATTATAATTTATGATTTTGTGTACCTATTATAATATATAAGGTGTATAAATATTGTTTTAAATTTTTCTGTCGGACGAATTCGATTTTAAGTTTTAGTCGTATATCTTTCGTCGAAACGTAACATGTTATTATATCATCGCACACACTGCGCGCCGGCCCAAATGCGAAAAAATTTAAAACGCTTAGCCCTGGGTTTCGTTACGGCGTGGCGTCGATAGTGAACGATGTCATAAAATATTATTATATCGACTACAGTAAGTTACGCTTGCACGTGATTACGGTCGGTTGCGATAATTATTGTTAATATATGCGCGTCGCGGCTTACACTTTACAGTCCACCGTACCTAGCCCATACACTTTCTACAAGGACGAACGATCGATAATCTGTTGACGCGGCGGTCGCGTGAAATATTATCAGAAGTATAATGCCATAATAATAGTAACGGCCGATCTCGAAATGATCCGAAACGAATAAGTGCCCAAAATCATCAATAGGAGTCTCCTCCTATTAAAAAAAAAATAATAAAAATATTATTACTCGATAAAGCATGTACGTCTTACCTTTTTGAGAACACGATTCTGTTCGATTTTTATCGAACAACGGATTGTCAAAATAACCCCAAAAACAACATGATTACGTACGATTTTTGGACAATTTTGCTATTTATTATTTGTTATTGTCGACTAGTTTAATTTTCTTAAGTTTATTTTATTTTAAAATAAAGATCAATAAAAACTAAAACTGTTTGACATACAATTGGTGACTTACAAAATCTCCCGGCGTATCAATTATTTGCGGGCGAGATTTTTTCTCGATGTGCGACATGACGACTTTTTTTAATCACTTAAGCAATTTGACCAGATACATTGAACTTGGCTAACGACCAGTACGTGTCTGTACGTTCTCAATGCCAATGCCAAGTTTGTGATTAATCGTCACGAACGAGTCAATAATAACGTCTTGCTGGACAATTATTATTTATTGACCGTTCTAGGCTGGTATTATTACTCTATCCGAGGACTATGAGTGTTCAGTGAGATACATTTTAACTAACCTGTGCGTATCGGAATTGTATTATTATGTTTTAAACATATTATTACGTGCCATAATAATAATATTTTAAAATGTATATTACTATATTATTTGTTATTAAAACGTGTAACATTTAAAAATCGGACCGTCCGGTAAACATCCGACCGGAACTGGTTTATCAATACCACTATGTTATTGACCCGCGTTAGTATGATATGCACAAACGGGTAAGAACCTATATTATATTTTATTAAGCATAAGTTAGGTACGAAGGCTTAAGTCTAAGTTTGCCTAAATTGGGTTACTAGTGTAAATATTCAAATGTTTGTGGTATTATAATTATTGCTATTAAATATACTTATTTTTTATGAAAGTATGATCGCAATTTAAATAAATGAAATAGTTTATTAAATTTGTATACGGTTTATTTAATTTTATCTATTGCATCAATTTATATTATAACTGGTATCCGGACTTTTATGTCTTTAAAAAACTTAAAATATAATGCATTAGTGCAATACAGCCTTTTTTAATAATAAGCTAATTATAATGACTTCTTAAAATATGAAATAAATATTCATACCAATGACCATAAATGGTAAGTATTTTTTGACTTTTTCAATTAAAAACATTATTCTAAACAATCTAAACCAACTATAACTAATTATGATCAATCTATGTTCCTTCGCTACAACAGTTATTATCATATTATCACGGATTACAAAAAAGTTATTTTTTAAATTGTCTTCTTAAATCATAATTATTATTATTTCAATTTATTTTTATTTTCATATTAATTTAAAGTATTTATTTTAAGTATTTTATTTTAATAATAGTGATACAGTTGATAGAATTATTTTAACCGATAACATTGCATTTCTTAGATATTAAAACAAATATAATTGAAAAGAAAAACTGGTTTTTCTAATCACATATTTTCAAATATGACTAATAGATACGTATTGTAATAGAATAGTATAAACGTATTTATGATAATGGTTACCAGACTTTTAAATATTTATATAATTATAATTATTAAAATGATACGCAGTTGATACGAATAAAAGCAATAACGCAAAGCACACTCTTTCGAGGTGGAGGAGGAGGAGGAGGAGGAGGAAGTCGGTGCGATTCCAGCAACCCGATTCTAAACGAAATCGAAAGCGACGATGGTGTCTATTTTCATGTAATACTATAAGCAAGGTGTAACTTTTTATAAACACATATTATAATATATTTATTTAGTATTTTGTTTCAATCGTACACCGATCGTGATGCAATTAAAAATAATGAAGATAATTTTACGAATGTTGAACCGCCGAACTTACCGGAGTCTAAAAAGCTGTACCGGTGCATGGGACTGTCGATTTTTGATTCCGCGGCGGCGGCGTTCTAATAAATCATTAACCCGGTGGTTTGTCAAACGCGATTTCGGCGGCCCCGTTCCTCGTGCCCGAGGTCGTAAATACGTCACCGTTTTAGTACGTCTCTATTTACAAATCATCGGCCTGCAACAACCGGGGTACGGGTCGTATCTCGTACCCGATAACGAGGTATTATCATAACGCAAATTCAATAACCAATAATTAATATTTTCAGCCGGGAACCGCGTACTGGTGCGGGCCATTACGTAGACGTGCGTCGCGATCGTAAATCTATGTATATATAACGTATGCGTATAGGCACGTTTGCATTATACCTATGCTTTAGGTACGACGACGAGCCTCGGGAAACTGCGTAGGATTTACGAGCTGCGTGAGTGCCGCCGGAACAAGATTTTTCGTTGTTTATTACCGTCATCCGCAATTATTATTATTAAATGGGCGCGTAACTGTACACAGCAGAGATCGGACCGTACATTATATCGACCGGTTTTCACGCGAATAGCACAGTGAACTATATAATGATGTGATACACGAGTTTTTACATGTGTGCTTCACGCGCACAATATAAAAGAGCTGCAGGTATTTTTGAAATCGTAATTTGTCGGTGTTTCGGCGGCGACGGTTACTGAAAGTTCTCCGAATCGTTTCCAGACGGATCGAACGTTGTATTATTATCATATTATTCCTACTCTTGGGTCCATCGTAACCATGCACGGCCGCAGACCACTATCGCCAGGGTATCACTATATAACATAATTAATTACATTCAGGCTTAATTTAAATTTAAATCAAAATAAACGATTGTATAAACAAAAATACGCAAAATTAGTATTGCTCTTTGGATCTTTTGAATGTTTTAATAAACATTACTTCTACTTCGACGACTCCAAGGAATCATATTCGGCGCGAAGCTACCGAATTACGATTCAATTATCTCGGCGGATTCTTAAATACGAACACGCTCTTTATCAACCAGAGAATCTCTGAGAAAAAACCATTTTTATTATTTTTAGAAGTAATTATTTACAATTATCTAGATAAAAAAACTCTAAAATCGAATTCAAACATCTGTCGGTTTGGAAATTTCAGCTATTTAATTTGTTTAGTTAGGTTTAAAATCAGTGAGAGGCGAGAGGTTATACGAAGATATAAATTGATTAGTATTAGTCTCGAATTAATACATGAATAAGTACACCAAAATCGTTAACATGAAAAATAAAAAGTGGCTGTAAAAAATTGTGCACATTTTTTGAATCTATATTTTTTAACATATTTTTAAGCGTATGTTAAAACTAAATATCGAATTATACATTGTCTAATTGCTCTATAGTAAAATATGTTCTACCGACTTCTTATATAAAATTAGCATATTAATTGAAGTACTCATATGCAAATTTAGTAAAAACTTAAGACTGGTAGAAGGAAGTATGTACTTATTGTATAAAAAAGTTGAATAAACGACAATTTTTTTATTTACAAAAATTAGTTTTTGAAATAATTTTCTATTCAAAAATATTTGAAAAATTTTTTTTTGTAGATTTTAATTTTTGAATCTTTTTGAATTTATATTACAAGGTCGTATCTGAACCTTGATTAAGAGGAAAATCAATTTTCACATAAAAAATATGTACACTTTATAATAATATATACAACGATAAAAAATCATAATGTTTCACTATATTGAATTTCCACAATGTAAGTAAATTATATTCCAATACAAAAGACTTGATTTCAAATATCTCTATTAATGTTGAAAAAATTGAAAAAAAAATATAAAATAATAATTTATCTTCAACAAAGTTCCAAATGGATTGAGAAATGATCAATTCTCACATTATTTCCTTATATAAAAAATAACTTAGCTACTTATTTTAATATTTTATGACAAATCAAAATTATTATAACTAGTATTGTTATTTGTTATTATAGAATCTTATTTTTAATTGAAAAAATAATACAACTATTTTAAATTCAATTCTTGCCTATTATGTTACCTAGTGAAAGCATTTTATCATTAGATAAAGAAATTATAATATTCATTGGAATACATATTAGTGTAATTTATAAATTCATGAAAATAAGTATAAAATAATTGCAATTCTAGTATCGTTTCTCAATTCAAGCATTAACCATACGAAACCGATACAAAATTGTAGTCTACATGTTCTATAACAGATGCAAAAATAGTAAATACTAATAATTAATGTTAAGTACTAAGTTTAAGTAATTTTTTTAACATTTACTTAAGTATTTATTATTTACAATTTATTGATTCTAATAAAATTTTTATCAACCATACAATATAACAATAAATTGTATTGTTCAAAATATTTTACCGAGGATTTAATTTTTCAAAAGAAAGTAATACTTACTCTGAGCGATTTTTATTTTTATTGAAAACTAAAATACCGCTCAAATTTAAAACAGGACAAAGAATCAATGATTTTATAATGATTTATTTTTTTCGTCTCAAAGTCTCATTTTTATTGATAAAGTGTGTGTATTGAATAAAAACTGGTATGTAGCATTTGAATTTAATACACAGTAACCCTTTTGCAATTTTCAATGATAATTTTTTTTATATTTTCTGCATCATATTTTTAGTCTTCAAAGAATGTGTGAAATAATGCTAATAAAACAACTATTATCACCACCAAAGTACCATTAGTTTTAATAGAACATTTTTACTGAAAATTTTATTTAAAAGCATATATAACATTCAAGTAAGCGCATATTATTAAAAATATAGAAACAGATGCGTATTCTTCGTACTTATAAACGTTCTAAAGTATATTGTAAATGTATGCAATATGTTTTAGACAAATCATTTAACATGGTTATAAAAAAATATAAATTAATATTATGGGTAAGCACCGATTGCGATTTATCTAGGACCCATATTTAAATTTCTACTGTACAATTTAATGTTTAAGTAGAAGCTTTTTTATTTTTAGTCTATAATTATTGATATTGTTTAAATACTATAGTTGTTTTATCCACGAGCTGCCACTTACGTATTACCGCTTAAACCATATCCAACATATGATTAGAACGAAATATCAAGGCTATTATTATTTCATAAATTCAACATTGGAAATCAAACCTTATGATTAAAGTTATGATTGTAATAATTTGTATTTTTTCTGAGTTTTAGACACACGTTCTTACTATGTAGTATAGTATTATTATTTTATACAATGATAATTCTAGTATTTATTGCATAAAATAATGCAGTTAATCATTTAAAATAATAATAGTAAATCCATCATAACATTAGAATATTATAAACCATAATTATTAAATCAAACTAATAGATATAAATTATAATTAAACCACATTACGTGGCATTTTTTATAAAACCGTTCCGAATACCTAACCTAACTCTTAAATAAATACTCATAAAACATTAAAAATATGATAAACTCTAAGAAACTAAATTAAAATGGGGTTCGTAAGAGTTTTTTTTTTGTATTCATTTCATCATCAATAGATTTAACTAATTAATTATGTTTACATAATTTAATGTTAATACTGATTTTTGTATTGGTTGAAAATGTTGAAATGTTTAAAAATGATAAGTATTTTTCTTGTCAAATATTACACTTCCCACATAACTGATAGCTTCCTGTAGTACGGTTTAAAATAATACACTTTATAATATGAAAGTTTTTCTAAAAATAAAAAACCAACTTATAAATGCCGTACGGTAACCAAAACAAAAAAATATTACACTATTGTCTATTTATAATTCAAAATTTTAAAGAAACAAACACAAAGAATTTAATTTTTAAAATTAATAGTTCTAATTGAAAATTACATGAATATTAACAAATTAACATATATTTATCTACAAAATAATTTAAATACTTTTGTAACTTTAACGAATTCGGTAAATTATTAAATTTTGCACTCTAACAAAAAAAATGTGATCAGTACTTTGAAAAGTATAAGAACACTTTTACTATTAATTCCTACATAAATAACTACTAGATC